TATATTTCATTGTATCTAAAGAAGAGTGTTTGTGCACAAAAAAGCTCATCTGTTGATCTTAAAGGTGCCACTGGACTCAAGCCAGGATTTAGTTTGCTGAAAAGTATTTGTTGTACATAGTGTTTCAGATTTTGTTGCAAAGTTTGTTGCAGCCTAGTGTGCTAAAAAACTGGGGCCGGCCCTGAGAGGAGGCCAGGGGGTGGGGACATGTAGCAAGCCCCTACAGATTTTACCCCTGAGCACTCTGTAACGCTAATTCAGATTCATCCCAGCTGCATGTATGCAGGACCAGCCCTAGATCCAGTGGTGCCCCAGGCAAGTCCTTCCCCTTCCAATAGTTCCAACTTTTGAACACCTTTTTAAAAATTGTGTGTGTGTTACCCTCACAACAACCCTGTGGGGTAGGTTAGGTAGAGAAGGGGAGATTTGGCCCGGGGTCACTCAGCCAGCAGAGTGAGAATACAAACCTGGGTCTCCCCACATCAATCTGCAACTCTGACCACTGTGCAGTGCTGCCTCTACTGATCTGTAATGTTCCAGAGGTGTTGTAATGTAATACTCAGTTTCTCAAACGAGTGTATGCCTGTCTGTTGGTCCACTTAGGAGTCTTGATCCTGGTTGTGTGGTGGGCTAGTTGTGGCAAATGGTAGGGAAGCTCAGTATTTCTGTATACAGTTGTAGGGGCTTTATTGCAATGTGGTATGGCCTGATATTATGTTCTTATTCCAGTGTGGGGTGTGGGGGGGGGCTTTCTAAGTTTCTAAGCAGTGTGCTAAGAAGGCAACTGTTCCTGGGGTTAGCCCAGGCCTCCCTAAATTTCTGGGGAGCCCATCCCTAAATCCCACATGGGTCCACCTCCATAGATAGTGACCATGGCCTGTGATGTCACTAGCTCCTCCCTATGATGTCATTGGGTCCCAGTTCTTTTAATGACTTAGCAATGCCTCTGGCCCAGCCCCAGCCCCCCCCGGGAAATTGGAAAGTCTACACCCTTGGCCTTCTTCAAGCCACAGGTGAAATCTGAAGGCATTTAAAGGGCTCACAATCCCTTTAAACACCTTCTCCAAGCATCAGGTTCACTTGGAAGGCATTTAAAAGGACTGCAATCCCTTTAAATGCCCTTTAACTTTGACTATCTGGTGGATAGACAAAATTTAGCTCCAATTTATATCTGGCTAAAAAAATAGCCAGAAAATACCAATAAGGTATTTTTTGGATTTTTTTCAGATTTAGCCAAATGCACACCCCTAGTGGCTACATTTGGAAATTGTTCACTCCCATACTGGGGTACATATATTCTATATACCACCTGTATCACTTAAACACATATACTGTTCAACAGAATGGCCTGATCCCACACATACCATATGTATACCTTAAACATTTTACTGAATTAGACCTAAGTGTTTAATACCTTCAAAATGAACAACTAGCAAACACTTAAACATAAACAATAGGACAATTTTTTTTATTTAAGTACCCGAGGGTACACTTTTATTGTTTTTTTTCCTTTTATACTACAAACATACATACAGACAACACCCAACTACCCCCAACAACATATAACATATAACAAGAGACTTTTATCACTTCTTCTGCTTATTAAATTTCTAAATTAATTATCTATTTTGCTAAGCTTATCTTTTCTGCGTTCTCAAATTACTACATTTATCTATCAGTTGCATTTACATTATACCAATCATAGAATCTCTTCCAAGTTTTTTGAAAAGTCCAAAGGACAATTTGATGTGGTGAGGACCCATAAAAAGAGAATATTCTCAATCTCAAGTCAAAGTCAGATTCAAGTCAAAAAGCATTTTCAGCCTAAAGAATCCACCATTTCAATTCTCACAACTGTTCAACACTAGAAGGCCGTTAGTACCTCAGAGATGTAAAGGTCTGCTAATGAAGATAAGTTTAAAAACTTCGTGACTCTCTGATTTATAGGGTGGGTAAAATTAAATGCTACCACTAAAACCTGCTATAACAAAATCTCGTTAGTGTTAATGTTCATTTATAGTTTGACTTCCCCAGTTTTAATCCCCCCTTTCTTTTTGGTGCGGTTGTGGGACTCACAATTTAAGATCCCGAAAGATGATTTTATGACTTGCTCAGCTGTAAATCAAACTTTTAAAGTTCATAAAAATGGTTAAAATAAAAAATGGTTTAATAGGAATGTTTTATGGTCCATAACATTATTATAGCTGTTTTATTCCCTGTGCGTTATTGCTTTAATTGGTTTGCTACAATTCTTGGGAATCTTCATTTTTATTGGATCAAATGTAATCCTAAATCAAAATGCCCAAGAATGCCTTCAATATGTCTCTTCATTTGTCAATCCTTTCCTTCAGGGGCTGAACAGGCCAACAGGGAAATATACTCTTTATTTTCCTTGGTCTTTCAGCACCACATGTCATTCCATATGTTTCTGCCAAGTCTGAACTGAAAGATTCATAACTGTCAGTGATTTTGGCTAGCTGGACTCTGTCAGTATTTTGTTATACAGAACTTCCTTACAATGTTCTATTTGCTTGCTTATCCTTTTTGTCCTTTTCTTCTACCCAGGTGTCTGATCGCTCTGTAGTGGCTCTTGTTCCCAAGCAAACCTCTTCCTACAACATGCCTGCTTCTGCCAGTATATCAAGGACCTCAATTAGCAGATATGGTAAGAAACAAAGTAGCATGATACAGAAGTAAAAAGGTTCTCTGTTTTTAAGTCCTCCAACAATCCAATCCATGCAGTCAATGGAGTTAGAATGGAGAATTGCACTGTAAATCAGTAGAACAAATTTTGAGTCCACTCGTACCTTTAAGACCAACAAAAGTTTAAAAAATTTAAAGTTTTGTTGGTCTTAAAGGTGCCACTGGACTCAAAATTTGTTCTGCTGCATCAAACCAACACAGCTCCTCACCTGGATCTCTCTTCACTGTAAATCAGATAACTGTGGTGAGTGCCAAGTGGCTGGAATGCTTATTAGAGTTTATATCTCTGAAGACTGGGAAAGTTTCTCGTTAAAGAGAGGCATCTCTCAGTTTGGCAGCAAACTTACCTTGCTCAACACTCACACTCAGACTGTGAGCCAATCAAAGTTTTGGAGCATACTGAGCAACTGCCGAACATTAGCTGCCGAACATTAAGTAGGTAACGTGAAAGACCTGTACCTGAGACTCTGGAGAGTCTGAGTAGACAAAACTGACTCTTTTTTTGGTATTTCTTGTATTACAGGTGCATGTGTGTGTGTGTGCGCGCACATGTGAGTGTATGTGCACCTAGAAGTCATGGCGACCTCTGGTGAATAACTGTGTGTGCACTTGGAACTCATGGTAACCTCTGGTGATTGACCCCTACTGGGGGCCTGGAGGATATTCAGAGAGGTAGCTAAATAAAGCCTACCCCCACCTCGGCCTCTGGTATTTCAAGGTCTCCTATCCAAGTACACGTTTGCTGTCACACAATGACAGCATAATATCCAGTGGTGTGTGGATGCAGCCTAGATGTCCTTTCCCTTGAAACCTATTCCAAGCAACATTTCCCAGTTTCAGTAAACACCTGTCAGGCAACAACAGTATTGAACTTCTCAGAGTCAGTTGCCAGTTGCCAGAAGAGCATTTGCACGCAACGAGTCTACAGTTGTTGCTAGCATTGATATTGATATCTCTGATTGTGCAGATGGCATGCAAATGAAGCCGCATGTTTACTCTCTACATTTGCATTATGTATTGGTGCAGTGCTGGATTTAAAAATAGAATGATTCAGTGCTCTCACCCCTTAATTACATCCACAGGAATATTCATATTTATCTGAGCATTAATCAAGAGTGAAGCTTTAGCAAATTTTGTAATGATTCACTCATTCTCCTGCTAATTTATGGGGATCCCCTTAATCCCACTGTCACCCAGAAGTGAAAAATGGCAAATTAAGAAACCAGTCTGGGCTGGTCACAGCAAAATAAGAGTTTGCTTGATTACAAGGAGAGGAGAGAGAAAAAGATGGGCAGTTTATAAACTGGCTTGGCATTACTCCAAAACACTTTATACCACTGGGCTTTTCTCCTCGCACAGCATAGGTACGTAGTAGGCAACACAATCTCTACATGGGGCTGCCCTTGGCGCAAATCCAGAGGCTGCAGCTATTGCAGAATGCTTCGTCCAGGCTACTGATTTGTCTCCCTAGATTGGAGCACATCCAGCCAGTCCTGAAGGCACTGCACTGGCTGCCAATAGCATACAGAATTCGCTTCAAGGTGCTGGTACTTACATTTAAAGCCCTATATGGCCGTGGTCCGGCATACCTTTCCCCATATATACCCCAGAGAGCACTACGGTCGGGGTCACAACATCGACTAACTATCCCAGGCCCAAAGGATGCCAGGCTCTCAGTTGGTTATTCCAGGCCCCAGGGTGGCTAGGCTTGCAGCTACTAGAGCCTGGGCCTTCTCAGTGGTGGCTCCTTACTGGTGGAATGAGCTCCTGGAGGAGATCAGGGCCCTGCAGGAGCTCTTCTACCAGGCTTTCTACTAGGAGCCGCCCACCACCATTACCACCGGTAACCATTGTCCTTCCACCAGGCCTTCAACTAGGAGCCGCCCACATTACCATCACATTACTATCAATGGCCACTATTAATATCTGTGGGGGAGGCTGGCTGCAGTGAGATCGAGCCAAACCGCCAGGAGAATGTAATCGCCTGAGCCTGTATGACACGTCACGCCATCTTGGTTGCTAATTACTGAGTGCACTTTATTTGGCAATTGCTGATTGTTTAAATGTTTTAAATGTTTTAACAGTGTTAAATGTTGGGGGGCGTGGTTTGGCGCCAACTAGTATGGATGCCTAGAGACTCGGCTCCGTACTCCCTCAACTCCCAAACCTCACTTATCTTTAGAAAAATCTCTAAAATCGAGAAATATTATGGGCAAAACAAGCGCAGACAAGACAGCAACCAATCTGCTAGGGAAAAACATACCAGACTACTTTAACAGAGCCAGCCAATCTTCAAATCTAGAGATCAACGGTGAAGAAGATCCCAACAAAATGGCCGCAGAAGAACAAGGTACGCTAAACACATCAGCAATTCTGACTGAAGCGAAACTAGAGACCATGTTGAACTCATTAGAACATAAATTATTTGAAAGCATGTCGGCTCTGATTAAACCCATTAATGATCAATTTGCGGAACTTCAAATTGCCCTAACCACAGTAGCCCACACTGCAGAACAAGTGAAAGAAATGGGCGCTGCACTTAAAGGAGAAGTAGGCTATATTGAAAACAAAATTTGTGGTGTAAAAGACAGAGTATTAACACTTGAGGCTGCCAGCCGTTGCCCCAACATAAAATTTCGGGGCTTCCCAGATCCTTTGAATATCTCAGTAGAACTGTCGATTTTTTATTGCTGAATGGCTAGTGTGAGAACTAGATCTTGAGGAGAACGTCGTCCCCGTAGTCGCAGCGGTGTACCAACTAGGCTCACAGACCCACCCAACACGCAGGGGCCCTAGAGACATACTAGCAGTCCTCCCCGACCCGAGAAAAAGGAAAAGAATCCTAGACGAAGCCAGGGTTAAAGGATCATTTTCATTCCAAGGCCTCAAAATATCTGTATACCCAGACCTACCCCAGGAAGTCCTCCACAAGAGACACGATCTGCATCCCATCACTGAAACTCTACGGCAAGCTAAGATCCGATACAGATGGACTAATTTAATCAACTTACAAGTGACCCACAAAGACAAGATGTACTATGCTCCTGACTTGGATTCCGGCAAAATTCTTCTCCAAAAAATCAACCTTATAGCAAACTTTGATCCGACTAAACTGACACAGAAAAGAAAATATCCAGACTCACCCAACAACGATGACAGAGAGCACCGCGCAGAAGGCAAAATGATTGTTCGCCAATTCTAAACAGCTATAACTCTATGCAACAAGCCAGGCTTTATAGATAAATTTTAGTATATGTAAATCTCACTGCAAGATAGATAAATGTTTAAAAAGTCCTTTTCAAATCTTTGATTACGATATGAAGGTTTGGGGGGGAGGGGGGAGCGTTCTCTTTTACCCGCCTTTTTTACTTTATTACAGTCTCATCATTGGAGAGTACTCCATTAATCACTTTAGGTGCTAACGTACTGTGATTAAGTGAGATTGTATTTTAACCTTTAAATCAACTTGTTTGATCTGATTTACTTTTTATAAATAATTCCAATCAATTAATCCACAGCTAATTATACCCATAATTAATTCTCTTTTTATATAATAAGGAAATTCCAATCAAACAACTACCTAGAATATCTACACTCTTGAATTTAATCAATTAATTCATTTTACGCTGCCTAAGGGAGGGGGAAACTACACTAAAATTTGGTACCAAAAACCCAAACACAGGATTAAATAAACTGTGAGCTTTGTAAGTGCAGTTAGCCAATTTAATAAAGCACAATATATCTGAGCTTTGAGAATCCTACTGAATAACTACTAAACTGCATTTTAAGTATATTACTTAAGTATTCTATATTTCTTACTTACCAAAAATTATTGCACTCTTACAAGTTACATTCTGCTATATTGCTTTTAAAAGAGTGTGCATATTGTTAGTCACTAAGTTTTAACATCATAGTATTTGGTTGAGATAGTATAGTAATGATTGTTCACTGCTTTTGAAACTCCTTTTGATGTTGCAGGGGTTACTTAAGAATTTGTCAAGTTAAAATTTTCAGTAAACACCAGTCTTTTATGGAGCAAGTTAACAATTTTGCTTTAACTGTGTATACCTTCATTGGATAAAGTTTTACTGCATATATATGTACCTTTTGACTGTTAGTTAACTTGTATAAGACACAACAACCAGTGGTATAAGAACTTTATTGGAATTCATTTAAGACCAACAACAATCCGTGACACACATCAAAGCGCACTACTGTGGCGTCCCCGCGGCTCCCGGGCAGGTCGCCCTCCCGTCGCCGTGGTTCCTGGCGACAAGGCCGGGGTCTTGCCGAGGCACCCGGTGTGTCAGCTCATGGGAGCAAGGGAAAGCTTATAGCGTTGGAAGGGGGCTTGCCTCAGATGCGGGGCCATCAGGAGGTTGCTTCACTTCCTCAGCCCGCCCTGGGTCTGGTCCACTTTGGCTAGATTGCGTGCGTTCTCTCTGCCTGCTAGCAATCGCACCACCCAGCCAACCAGCCCAGCAAGTCGGCTTGCCTCTCCCTCACCTTTATTCCCTCTTCCCGGGCTGACCCACCCACCGCCTCGGCCCCTCCCCCGTCTAAAGGGGAAGACGCCGAGGAGATTGCCTCCGCCCCCTGGCTCTCCCGGGACTCGTCCCCTCAGCGTGGGTCTTCCGGCCGCTCCGGGGTTCGTTAGCGCGGTGCGCGGGCAGGCCCTCGCCCGGCCGTTCTTCCCCTCTCGTCCAGGCTCGGTTCGTCGGCAGGAGGCCCGGCCGTGCTTCCACCGGTGTGTTCCCTGTCGGTGGTCTTCCTCCTGGAGGGGTGCTGGTGAGAGAAGGGACGGGGGCGGGTGTTGCGTCGTCGCCTGGCTGCGCCCGGATTCCCCGGGGCCCCGGGGGGTCACCGGGAGAGTCCCGGCGGCTACTGGGACAACTACTAAGGAGGAACATAACAGAAATCATTACACACAACTACTGTGACACATAGGGAAACAAGCAATCAAGACAACACTCACTCACACTAAGCACCTAACTGTAAAATCACCATTCAAACAAATCATCACCACTCACAACAACCCACCAAAATCTACCCTAAGATAAACACCAACACAACACATACATTAGTTATCACGGGAGCATACCGCAAGCAGCAAAAGAGGATACACCAGATTTTTCACTCATTCTCATATAACACAACTTGACTTCTTCATGGAACATACTCTCTCTTAACGTCCGAGGACATTGTCAAGAGACAGCATATTCTAGCCAACATACACAAACTCCTCCCAGACATTACATTCCTTCAAGAAATGCACCTATGGTCGTCGCCACAAAGTAAGCTAAAAACAAAATGGATACAACAGCAATTCCACGCATATGGCAACTCAAAGTCCCGAGGTGTGGCAATCCTTCTTTCCAATCCCATTTGATTTCAACACCAGGCCACTAAGAAAGATCCAAGAGGTCGATTCATCTTCATCAAGGGAATGCTGGAAGAAAAAAAGTTACTTTAGCATCTATCTATGCCCCAAGGGCATAATGCACACCAAATCAGGCGAGATAAACGAAGTATTCATGGAATTTTACAACAAACTCTATTCCTCTTCAACACCATCTCAACCTCAAATCAAGCAATTCTTAACTTCGCATCCAGATATCAAACAGCTCAACGAAGAACACCGCCTAAAACTAGAAAATCAAATTGACCAGCAGGAGATATATGATACTATCCGTTCACTCAAGAACAACAAAACACTGGGACCAGATGGATTCCCTTCCGAATTTTACAAAAAGTTTGCACCAATATTCGCTCCACAACTGATGAAGACCTGCAACGATATACTCAAAACAGGCATCCTACCTACATCCTGGAATATGGCTTCTATCATAACAATCCCGAAACCCGGGAAAGACCCATCCAATCCTGCTTCATATCGGCCAATTTCCCTGCTCATCCAGGATTATAAGATCTTTACCTCATTGATTACTAAGTGACTCAACTCCATACTACCGACCTATGACCATCATGACCAATCTGGATTTATTCCAGGGAGAGACATCACAGATAATGTGCACAAAGCATTGCACTTTATATCGTCTTGCAGCAAAACGAAGTCTGATGCAATAATTCTCTCCCTCGACATAGAGAAGGCATTCGACTCGCTAGAAACAAACTACTTAATTGAGCTTTTGAAACACATGTAATTTGGCGATAATTTTCTCAGAACAGTGGCAGCCATCTACTCGAAACCATCAGCACAGGTCAAAGTCAACAACATCACTTCCAAGACACTCACTCTGCATAGAGGAATGAGACAAGGATGTACGTGGTCGCCAGCCCTATTCGCCTTAGCGCTTGAACCACTGGCGGAGGCAATACGAAGAGACACCAATATATCTGGAATCCGTCTAGGTCCTCATGAGTTCAAATTAAACCTCTTTGCTGATGACATGTTGCTCTTTATAACGCAACCAACAGAATCTCTACACAACCTAAAACAACATCTGACCACCTTTGGACAAATATCTGGATTGAAAGGTAACCAAACAAAATCGTGCATCCTGCCCTTAGGCATCTCCCCAGCTGTAAAACAAGAGATACAAAACAACTTTGATTACCAATGGCAAGCATTATCTCTGCCATATTTAGGGATACACATTCCGAATGACCTTAAAAATTTGATCAAAATTAATCACTTACGAAAATTCCAAGAGATTCAATTAACACTCTCCAGCTGGAGCAAACAGAAGCTTTCGTTCTTGGATAGGCTGAAGAACACCTCCAGACAATCTGAATTCCTGTTCCAAAGCTGGTTCCCACCAAGAAATGACATCAACATAGCGCAGAAATTCAGAAATGCCAAATTAACACGCATCGTAGATATCTCAAATAAAGCAGGCCTTCTCCCAAAACAACCCTTAGAATGTAAGCTGCATGCCTCTATCCCATGGTTCTTCTATTTACAACTCAATCATGTAATGTCTACCCTGAAAATTTTCTCCCCTCAAAATCCTCCTAAATCTGTCCTTGAAAACATCTTAGATTCTACTGGGACCTCATCCAAAGGATTGATCTCCAAGGTCTACAACATCTTACTTAATCAAGTGGCAATCAGAGTGTTGCATCACGATTACTGATGAACTCTCGGACAAAGTTTGGTCCTCACCTATGATTACATCACCAATCATCAACACACAACTTATCAGAAATCTTAATTTAAAAAGTTAATGATTAAAAAAAACAGTGTTAAATGTTAAGTTTTAAATGTTTTAACTGTATATGAATCTTGGCACATTGTGCCAGGTAATGTGAGCCACCCTGAGTCTGCTTGCAGGGAGGGCGGGTTATAAATATAATAAATAAACAAATAAAATTAAATACGGCAGTCTCCTGATCTTGCCTCCCAGCACTGGTATCCAGAATATGCCTCTGAATATGGAAGTTCCCTTTAGTCACCATGGTGTCAGCTATGCTGCCATGGGAGTGGGGAGGTTGAGTTTGTCTTCTAATTGCCTTTGCATTCCTTCTGTGCTTCTTTGCTGCTACAACACTTATCTCTAAGTATTGCAGGTGGGGATGTTGATGTCTGGTTTTCTTGGGGACCGTGAGAGAGTGTTTAATTCCCAGCTTCAGCGCTTAACGGCCGAAGCTCTATCTCCCACGCAGGGCTAATTGGCCAGCGCAGTGGGGGGGTGCATACGAATTCCCTATATCCTATTATGCCCATGGGCAGCCTTCATTCTTAACAGTGCTTATGTTAATGCATCTATAGCTCTTCAATAAAGTATTACCTTTCCTGAGAAGCGTGTACTACGTTGTTGGCTGTGGGTTCTGACACATGGCTAGTAGCCATTAATGGACCTTTTCCCCTTGAATCTGTCTAATGCCCTTTTAAAGCCATCTATGATTGTGGCCATCTCTGAATCCTCTAGCAATAAATGTTATGATTTAATTATTTGTTGAGTAAAAAAAGTATTTAATTTTGTCTGTCCTGAATCTATTGCACATCATTTTCACTGGGTGCCCTCCAACTTCTAGTATTATGGATTACAACATTTTCTCTATTCACTGCTCTACCCCATGATTATTTTTTTAAACCGTTACCACGTCCCACCTTAACCTTTTCTATAAAGCTTCTGGGACTCTGAGATGGAGAACTATACCTCCAAGCCTAGATTCCACATTTGATTCCCTTTCTCTTTTTTATGAAGTCATCATATTTCTGTATACTTTGAAAGAACCCCCTGAGGATGTAGAATCCCCCTTCTTTGTCAATGGGCAGCCTGTCTTTTTTTCCTGCTTTCATGATGGCTGTGAGCCTTTGACCATGAGGGTGGTGGTGAAGAGTGAAGCTATTTCTACCCTCCCCTTGTTTTTGATCAATGATAAACATGCAGGTAGTTTCATTAAACAACAGGATTTTCCCTCCCCCCCTTTTTTTTCAGGACTGTCCTTCAGAAGCTGGAGACTTTCGGGCCCAGCAGTGTTCCGCCTATAATGACGTCAAGTACCAAGGGCACTTTTATGAATGGGTTCCTGTCTACGGTGATTCCAGCTCTCCATGTGCCTTGAAGTGCCAAGCCCTGGGAAAACCCTTGGTGGTGGAGCTTGCCCCCAAAGTCCTGGATGGCACTCGCTGTAATGCCAAATCCTTGGACATGTGCATCAGTGGAATATGTCAGGTATGGCTGAATTCTTTTCCTCCTGCAGTTCCAGTTTAAATCCCTTAGTGTGGCTGCTAAAAACCAAATGACAATAAAGATATCAGGGGGTCCAGCCTGACAACTTCTGTGTCTTATCGAGTTGCACCCAACATCAAGGAACTGGTCTGTCTAGCTCAGTAATGTCTCCTTATTTATTTATTATTTCTATTTGTATCCCACCCTTCCTGCAAAGAGGTATCTCTCCCTTATTATAAAAGAGTAGTGGGTGCCAGAATTCTAAAATTGGCCCCTTTAGTGTTAGGCCGAAAAAACTGCCACTCGGAAGACACTGGCTGGGTTCATTGGCTGCTTTGTGCAGTCCCGGCCAGCGTTCCAAGGTCATTTACATATGGAAGCTGATTGGACTACACTCCATTCCACACCTCA